ACAAGGAAAATTCACCTTTCCAGACACTTTCTCCTGCCATTATCTATAAAGGGTGCCTATCACATACCAAACACTGCACTAGACACTTTGCAAGCATAAATTCATTTAATTCTCAAATTGGTCCTAAGAGACAATCTGTTCTTACTAGTTCTATCTTATAGACAAAGAGAAGGAGCCTTAGAGACGAGGGCACCTTACCTATCACCACACAGTAAGCAGAAGAGCAGAGATTTACTCCGAATGGACTCCCCCTTTAAATGTGATGCCTTAGCTTAACCGGTCAGTCCCGAGCAAAATCAAAGTCACTACCTCCCTTATTAATGAGGCCCCTGGAGAAATAACTGCTGCTGTGTGTGGCCAAGAGTGGCCTCCACTCACCGGTCTGGATGAGGCCAGAGCTACTGTCTCCGATGTCGAAGAACTGCTCGATGTCTGGGAGGACGCCTGGAAGGAGAGCGCTCGGGATGAGCCGGGGAGGCGGCCCCATCCTGGGCACCCCGCTCCCTCCCCGGCAGAAGTGAACCTACCGGCCACGGTGAAGCGGTCCATGTAGTTCAGGAGGTTGATGTAGCACAGCACGGCCACTATGAGGGCCGAGTGCGCCGGCGACAAGCCGGTGATGCGCTGCAACCCCTCGCGATCCGGGATCTCGGGCTCCCCGGACTTGGCGTTCCCCACAGATCCCGGCAACCCCGGGGTGCCAGGCACCGGCCCGTCCTCTGGGTCATCCGCCTGGCTGAGGAAGGGCGTGGTGTCGGAGCCGGCCATGGTCCCGGGGGGCGCGCGCGCCCCCGCGCTCCGGTCCCACCGACGATCCACCTGCGAGAGGAGGAGGCTGGAGAAAGGAGGTCGGAGAGAACCCTGGGGATCCTAGCGCGCCCTGAGTCGGGTAAGGAGCTCGCCCCGGAGCATAAGCATGGCTGGGGAGGACCCCGGGCCCTGTCATGCTCTCCCCGAAGACCACCGCGCAGAGGGGACACATGGAATTCAGGTGACGTTGGGGACAGGATAGGGTTAAGGCGGGCCTGGCCCCGCTCCCATGTTGAGGCCCCCCCTCACCCCGGGCAGGGGCGCAGCACGGTCGCTGTCGCTCAACCCCAGCGCTGCACCACGGCGGCGGCCATGTTGCCGGGGAGCCTGTCATGTGATGCGGGGGCCGGCGGCGGAGGTGCAAGCCCTCGGCACGTGACCCGCCCGGACTACGGAAGCCTCAAAGGAGCCGCCAGCCTCCCGCGTCACGTGACTGGCGGCCTGGGTCTCCCGGGTAATCGGGAACCCGGTCCTAGGCGGCAACCCCCGAGGCTCCGCGGACCGGCGCCATGGCAACCCCGCGCCTGGGCCTGCCGGGACCGCCCACCTGAAGGTTGTCCCCGTGACTTGGCCGATCTCAGTGGTTTTATCTGGAACGCCCACTTGGCAGGCTTCTTGCTAATCAGGAGATAATGGGATCGCAAGGGATTTGGAAATAGTAAATCTCTGCAGCCACGCCGGGCGCTCCCAGCAGTCAGCTTCCTCCTCCCGGCGCTTGGCCGGCGGCGTCGTACGTCTCAGTAAATGCTGAGAGAAGTTGAGCCGCCTTCTGTCTCCTTCGGGTTCCCTAGTCCTGAGCTTCCACTGTGGACACTGACATGTCCATTGAGAGAAGCGTCCTCCGCCGCCCAGGCCGCAGTGGGGTCCGGAGCTCTTGCGCCCTCTGGCGGTCACGTGTAGTGCAGGCAGGGGCTCTGAGCATAAGGACACGGCCACCTGCAGGGTGAGGCAGGAGCCCAGCCCCAGGACGCCTTTGAGTAGTTTTTTAGTGGCCCGGCATGAACTCAAAGCTACATTATTTTTTTTTTTGGAGGGGGGCGAGGCCGTGATGGCACCAAGGATTGAAGTCAGGGGCACTCCACCCCTGAGCCCCATCCCTAGCACTATTCTGTATTTTATTTAGAGACAGGGTCTCACGGAGTTGGTTAGCGCCTCCCTTTTGCTGAGGCTGGCTTTGGACTAGAGATCCTTCTGTCTCAGTCTCCTGAGCCGCTGAGATAACCGGCTCCAAACTACATTTAGTAAACTCTATTGAAAAGTAAAATTATTATAGCTATTTGAAGATGCAACTTTAAGACCCCAGAAATCCAAGACAAATTCTGGAGTCTCATGGAGAAGTCCAGCACGTGGAGTCATAGACCTGGTAACGGGTATTGGAGCTGCTCAGGGAGGTTGAGGGCTTCTCTGAAGCAGGCCTTGGGTTCACATGTGCAGGAACAATGTGCAAGTTCTTCCTTATCCTTGGTTTCACATTCTGTGGTTTCAGTAATCTGTGTTCAACTGCAGTCCAAAACACAGCTCAGTGCAGTAAGAATTATTTTTATTATGGGTACTGGGGATTGAACCCAGGGGTACTGTACCACTGAGTCACATCCCCATCCCGTTTTGTTTTTTTGTGGTGTTGGGGATTGAACCCAGGGCCTTGCACATACAAGGCAAGCACTCTAACAACTGAGCTAATCCCCAGCCCCCCAGCCCTTTTTATTTTGAGACAGGGTCTCAGTAAGTTGCTGCAGCTGGCCTCAAACTTGCTATCCTCCTGCCTCAGCCTTCTGAGTTGCTGGGATTACAGATGTGCGCCTAGCCAGTAAGAATTTTTGAGACCACATTCATATAACCTTTATTGCGGTATATTGCTGTAACTGCTCTATTTGGTTATTAGTTGTTGATCTCTTATTGTGCCTAACTTGTAAACTAAAATCTAACTGATAAATCATATGTATTTATAGGGAAAAACAGTGTGTACAGCATTAGGTACACATTGATGGGGGATTGTCTTGGAACATATACCCTGAAGATAAGGGGGGACTACTATAAAGTAACTACCCCAGGTCAATGCTGTGGGGCTGGCAAGGTGCCTACGTGGAGGGTGAGCCCATTCCCTTTCTCATTGTCCTCCCATGTGGCTCCCATTGTGAAGGTCCCCTCTTGTCCATAGAACTGCTCTACTCCTAGGCAGCAGGCAGGAAGTAAGCAAAGGGGAAAGACACGGACATGTGCTGCCTGCTAGAGCCACTTCCTGGAAGTAGCAGCACTCCTCTTCCACTTCCACCCGGCAGGCCTGAATTGGCCCTTGGTCACATCTAGCTTGATGACATACAGTACCGAATACTGCATCGCTCAGGGAATAATGACAAAAAAATCTGTACCTGTTTAGCACAGAGAGAATTTATTTCCCCTAATATTTGCACCCACTGTTGGTTGAATCTACAAGATGCAGTTTCACAGACCCAGGGAGCTGATGCCTCTTTATTGAGGTTCCCTGTACTTCACTAAAAGCCATGAGTTCTGTTACTTTGGAAGGGAGAAGAATGGATGTGAGGGAATAAATAATGGATTCTGTCACAAGTATCTTAGTGGAGGGGTCACATGAGGACCAGGAAGATGGAAATTCTCAAGTATATATAAGTTTACTCCCATTTATTCTGTTGAGATTGAATACAAAATTTTAATGTGCTCAAATTTACTAATGGATACAAAAATTCCGCAAAAAAAGATGGAGAGCTAGACTACATCATGGATTATTTACATGTTATAAAATTCAAAGGAATACCGCAGTCCAATAAAACATTTTTAAGGAGTTGACATACTTTTGAAAAAATTATACCACATATCAGTGAAAGATTAATGGCTTTTTTTAGTAGACAAAACTGAGAAAAATGGCTCATTCTATGATAAAAAATAAAACTTGGTCTCACACACAAAGGTACATATCAAATAGTTTAAAGGTGATGTTCAATCTTTTCCAACCAGTAGAGCCTGGCATTAACTAGTGAGAACCAGTGCTGGACCGCTCAGAACAGTGGCCAGCCAGGGCACTGCCCAGGGTGTCCTAGCTGGACCAAGACGAACTCTACGGACTCAACGTGAAAGGAAAAGAAATGAGCTAACATAAGAAAACGAAAATATCTTAACTAATTTTAAATAAATCAAAAAGCAACAAACTTCAAAACAAAACAATGTGTCTACCTTAAAATTAAGAATGTCTATTCGGTGAAGGATCCCTAGATTCACAAAGTGCCATTCTGAGTTATTTGCAATTACCCAGAAATATATAAGGAACTCCTCAGAATAAACACACACAACACACAAAAAGGAAGTCCTGTGGGAAAAGGAGCCATTCCTAGAGCAGCCAGCGGGGCCAAGGGGCAGGCGACAAGATCCCCCAAATTATGGTGATCCAATGGGAGTACATTAAACACTGTGCCCCTTGGGCCCACCAGGCTGGCGAAAATCAGACAGTTGGGCAGTACCAAGTGCTGGGGAGGATGAGGAGGAGGGAAGCCTCAAGTGGAAGGCCAGAGAGATTAACCTGTGTGACCCGTAACCCCGTCCTGGGTGTGTATGCTAGAGAAGTTTCACACGAGCACAGAAGGGACACCGAAAAGGATGTTGATCGTGGCCTGGAATGTGGTGCCAGGAGGTGGTGGCACCCTGGTGTCCACTACTTAAGGCAACATGTGAGTGAAATGCAGTCGATGCCCCTATGGGGTACCATGTGACAGATCTAGAATGAGCAGAGACTACAGCGCCCCACATATTGAGTGAAACCTATTGCACAACAATCTCACACAACAGTAAAAGCATATTCACTCCTGAACACCGTATCCTATAAGGACACAGTGATATTCAAAGATATAGAATAAACAAACAGGGTGCTGATGGGACGGATGGTGGGAAGAAAGGCAGAAACGCCACAAAACCAGGATCCTTGCACGGGACTGTGATCCCAACATCCAAAACCAAATGGCTGTGTACAGTTCTGCCTTAAGTGTGTGCACCAGGAAGTGTGTACCAGAAAGGGGGCTCTAAAGGGGAGAGGAGATGCCGTGGCTGAGACCCTAGTAACTTCGTTCTTCGAGAGTGTTCCAGGGCTTAAGCTGCAGCCCAGACACCACTCTGGAGAACGTGCCCCCAGCAAACTGAATTCCCAGCCCCCAAATGAGGATAAGGCCGCTGTTGGTCCTTGATGTGATCTAAGGCCCTGTGTCCTAGGCCTGGAAGCCCATAACCCAACCCTCATTTATTTCAAGTCACTCTTTCAATAAGAGCAACAGTTCATAGAACAGACATTTGGAGGAAGAGACAGGAGATGAAGGCGAGAGATGACGGGGAGAATCTTCTCCATGTCCTGGGGGCTGCACAATTCAGCAGGACCTGTCATGCAGCCACGACCACTACACAACTAACCAAGCAGCTAGGCTGGAGACCAGGGTCAACAGGAGATGGAGTCAAAGTTCATTCCTTGATTTTGCCTCAGCTTAAAGATAAGTTCTAACTCAGCTTCTGCTAACCCTGATAGGGCAAAAAAGCTTTGTCCCCAAGTCCTGGGGGGGCTCCAAACAGGGTTTCAGCCCCAGACCTCAATGAGATCCCCAGATTCCATGCCCAGATCAGCCGGCAGCTCCTTGCCTGAAAGCTTTGTCCCATCGAAGAAGAAAGACAGCTTGTGTCCAGAGAGTCCCATGGCCTCCTCATAGTGTGACATGAGGGTCTTGAGAGGAGAATCCTGGATGGAGAGGAAAACACAGATGTAAAGGAGGAGCTGGGAGACTGCGCGACAGTCTGCGAACCTGGCACAGGAGGACAAGCAGCCAAATCAGTGAGGGCAGAGCCCTGGAGGGGAAGGCGAGGGGACAAGCAGTCAGCACCGCCTGGTTCCCCTCTGGGCACTGGCACGAGTCTTCCGCTCCCTCTGGGCCTCAGATTCCTCAAGAAGAGAGTGGGAGCCACAGAACCCAAGGGTTAGGGTGTAAGCTCTGGGTTCAGCACGTCCTCCCAGCCCCAGTCACCTCACAATAAGGAGGCAAGACCATAAGGAAGCCGGGACTCTGAGGTGAGAAGGGTCTGGCTGGGGCCTGGCTCTCCCACTTACTGGATGCATGATGTTAGACAAGTGTTATGGGCTAGGGCACCTATATAATTTATATCCTTAAACCATGAGCCCTGCACTTGGGAGGATCACAAGTTTGAGGCCAGCCTCAGCAACCTAGCAAGACCCTGTCTCAAAATAAACTTTTTTTTTTTTTTTTTAAATATGTCCTTACAAGGAAAATAGGGACATAGATACATCAGGAGACCACCATGTGAGCACAGAGGCAGCTGCAGCCGGGAACTCTGGCCACCACCAGAGCCAGAAGGAGGCAAGGAAGGGCTTACCGCATCCAGCTGACCTCTGATTTCAGACTTCTAATCTTCCCAAGTGTAAAAGAAGGTTTCTATTGAGTTAAGCTACTGGGTTCTGGTACCGTAGTGCTCCGTTCTTCAGGGGGAAGGTGAGCCAAGACCCCTCATGGATGCTTAAAACCATGGATGGTACCAGACCCTAAGCATACACTCTCATAAGGTTTCCTTATAAATTAGGCATAGGAAGAAATCAACAATAATAAAACTAGAACAATTTTAACAATATACTGTTCATTGTAATACAAGTTATATGACTGTGGTCTGTCTCAAGATACCTAGGGCTGGGGTTCTGGCTCAGGGGTGGAGCGCTTGCCTAGCACATGTGAGGCACTGGATTCGATCCTCAGCACCACATAAAAATAAATAAATAATATAAAGGCATCGTGTCCATCTACAACTAAACATACATATATATATATGTATTTACATACACACATACATATACATATACATACACACACACATATATATATATATATATAAATATATAGTTGGGCGCAATGGCGCACGCCTGTAATACCAGTGGCTCAGGAGGTGAGGTAGGAGGATAAAGAGTTCAAACCAGCCTCAGCAAAAGCAAGGCATTAAATCAACTCATTGAGACCCAGTCTATAAATAAAATACAAAATAGGGCTGGGGATATATATCTCTTCTGTACATTTGCTCAGACACCTGTGCATAGTTTCTTTTTGAGTCTGATAACCCAGGCGTGCACCATTGTGCCCAACTATATATTTATATATGTGTGTGTGTGTATTTAGTTGTAGATGGACACAATGCCTTTATTTTATTTACTTATATCTTTTCATTTTATAAAGGATGCACCTTACAGATTTTCTTTGGTATATCCAAATTGCCAGCATCACAACTCTTATTTGGGGGCCATTATTAAGTAAAATAAGGATTATATGAACACAAACATTGTAATATCACAGCAGTAAATCTGATAGCCCAGGTAGCTACTAAGCAGCAGCTAGTGTACACAGTAGGGTTCAATGGAGAAGGTCCATCCAGCAGGATACAGTGGGATGACAAAGGACGGTGCATGATTTTATTTCACTATTCAGAACTGTACACAATCTAAAGCCTATGAATTGTTTATTTCTGGACATTTCCACTTAATATTTTCAGAGCACAGTTCCATGGGTGACTGAAACCTCAGAACGTAAACCCCAGACCAGCGGGGACTATCTGTATCTTGTAACAGCTGCCATAAGAACTGATACAGCAAGTTCCTCCACCCCCAGTTCTGAGTTTCTTATTTGTTAAGTGAAGTCCACAACAGGACTTTCCCAGGTAAGGCTTTCCCAGGTCACACTGTAGTGATATAATCCTGAGCAGACAACAATCATCCCCAGCACAGACACTGGCATTTACAAGTGGTAGAGTATCTGCTTAATGTCCACAGGGCCTGGGTTCCATCCCTCATACCACCAAAAAAAAGTGGCTTTAATTATTTTTCTGTTGTGTTCTGTTTCTTATTGGTCACTGTCCAAGGATCATTTCTGTTTTGACTGGAAGGAGTCAGGAGACTGAGGGGACATACAGACTAGAACAGAGGTTCCCAGCAGAAGAGGGAGGGAAGTTGAACCTGGGCTTTCCCCACCTCCTAGGCCAGGCGTGTGCCCAGTACGGAGGGTAGTGTCCTCAGTGAGTCAGGGTTAGGAGGAGTCCATTCCTGCCAACTGACAGAGAGACAGCAAAGGAAGGGGAGGGTGTCGACAGCCATTTCTTTTCCACTCACCTGAGACAATGAGATCTCCAGCATCTGGTGTTTCTCTTTCCCCTGCACCCTGAGACGGAGCTGCTGGGATGTCTCTGTGGCCTCTGAAGAACTTGCTAGCACCACACAGTCTGTGGGAGGCAGAACCAGGAAGCCAGGCCTAAGGGGGGGTTGGAAGTGCAGCCCGCTCTGGACCTGTCCCCATTCTCCCCTCCCATGGCAAAATTTCCTCAAGACAGGTGTGGCAGTACGTGCATTAGATCCTAGCGCCCAGGAGGCTAGGGCAAGAGGTTTGTAAGTAGGAGGCCAGCCTTAGCAACTCAGGGAGACCCTGTCTCAAAATTTAAAAAATAAAACTAAAAAGGAGGACAAGAAGCCAAAGAGCCCTTTCTGTGTTCACATTCCCCGCTCTACCCCCACCCTATCCTCACCGCCCCAAACACAAGGCTCTGGTCCCATGTAGCTTTCTGAGGATGCGGCTCAGTGGCAGAGTACCCAGGGCTCAACCTCTAATACTCCTTGAGGCCCCACCTCCTTCCACTCACCAATGATGTCAGCCACTCCAAGCTTTAGAGTCCTGGGGGTGGCCGTAGGGGACAGTTCTGTCTCTCCAAAGAGCAAAAGAATCCTGCTTGGGGACACCCTGAGGCGGGTGGCCATGTGGTCCACCACACTCTGAAGGGGCTCCGACTAAGAAGGGGAAAAAGAAGCAAAGGAGCCCTTCCCACTTTCCAGTTCCCCACCCCGCCCCCACCACAAGTTTCTGGCCTGAGCTACTTGCTGAACTCCTCAGCTGTGAGTCTCACCATATTTACCTGGCAAGTACAGAACAAGGTCATGTCAGAAAGAGGTTCACGTGAGCAGCCCAAAGAAATGAAGCAGCCATGGCATAGGAGAAAAAAGAGAAGAGCGGGGATTACAACAGGGAAGGGCATGTCCCCTCAAAATGGCCATTTCAGCTGACTGTCACCGGGTGGAAGAGGGCAGTTGATTACATCTTCCTTTTTTTTTTTTTTTAGTACTGGTGATTGAACCCAGGGGTGCGTAACCACTAAGCCACATCCCCAGACCCTTTTATGTTTAATTTAGAGACAAGGTCTCACTGAGTTACTTAGCACCTTGCTAAGTTGCTGAGGCTGGCTTTGAACTCACGATCCTCCTGCCTCAGCCTTCCTAATTCTGGGATTATGGCATCACAGGTGTTTGCCACCAAGCCCAACATACCTATTTTTAAAAGAAGCCAGAAATCTGGACTTTTGCCTGAAATTACCCGTTGTAACCCAAAGGTTAGCAACAAACTTTTTTTTTTCTTTTGTGGTACTGGGGACCAAACCTAGGGATTGCAGGTGCAAGGCAAGCACCCTACACTGACACTCCCCCCCTCACAGATCTTTAAACCCCACAGAGCAAAGAGAGCAGAGGTTGCGTTCTGACGGGGTCCTGGGCTGCCTGCTGCAGCCTGGCCTGGCTGTCTCTGAGCCACACACGGGGGGCACTCAGCGAGTGCTCGGTTCTGCCATCATTCTTAGTGTTGAACTGGGGCCATCCCCACCCAACTATCTGCCTTTTCCAGGAAGCTGGAGGGGCTCAGGATGACCAAGTGACATCTGCTGTGCCCAGTGCAGTGAGAACAAGCACAAAAGAGCATAGAGCCCTGGGGAGGAAAAAGCAAGATGGTTGAGGAGAAAACACTTTGTAGGACAAATGACGCGGCAAGATCATTGTACTGTCATGTGTAACTAATTAAAACAAATTAAAAAAAAGAAGATATGAGGCTTCTGTGGAGCCTTGAGAAATGGGCAGGAAGTTCGCCGGAGGGAGAGTAAGGAAAAGCTAGAGAGAGGATCCCAGACACGCAGGGGAGAGTAGAAGGCACCTCTGCAGAGCAGGACGGGAAGAGGAAGGCTCACTCCCTGCTGCCAGAACCCGCCAGCAGGGCATCATCTCCTCAAAGCAGCTCTTGGTCCTCCTCCTGTGGCCCCCTCAGGCACTTACCATTCTGATGGGCAATCTGATCAGGTCAGCCCGGCACCGGATTTTGAGTGGGAAGAGCCGGGGATTCTCCGGAAGCATGGGCCCCTCCACTATGACCACCTCGTCGTCTTGGCTCTGGCGGCCTTGGCCCTGGTGCTGCTTGGGACTCAGAGAAGATCGGAGATCTTGGAGGCGCTTGTTCACTTCCCTGGGGTGCAACAGGACTCTGGGTCAGCCACCCTCCCAAATTGTCCTCCTTCACCCCATCCAGAGCCCCATGCCCCTGACACCTCAGTTTCTGGAGTGCCCGAGTATGCTTTCTGCTTTTTGTCCCTGGTGGAGGTGGGGGCAGAGGAGAGGTGTCCCGAGCCCTGTAGAAAGAAGAGAGGGACAGGATGAGGCAAAGGAGAGACTCCAGCCCCCACTTCTCTTCCTGGGCTGTGGATCCCCAAGAACCCGAGGGGAGCTGGAGAATCAAAAGAAAGCACTTTCTAGTAACTTCTATTTTACTGGAAGACAGGGACAGAGAACACGACATCAATTTTATATTTACAAGACCCAAATATGAAAGGAAGAAAATGTCTCACTTAAAGATAAGTCACTTCCCAGGTTAATGTCCGATAAGCTATAACAGATACCAGGCATTGACTACTCTTCCTCTACTCGACAATTCTCACACAGGTACCACGACTTCCCTCTTAACAGACGAGGACAGAGAAGCACAGAAGACGGCAAACAGGCATCTGGTAGAATGTGACCACATGCTACCCCTGCATTAGCCCACCTCAGACTCCACTTCCATGGCTAAAAGGTTCTGGGGGGCGTCTCCTCTTCAACCAGGAGCTTGATTCCCCACCTGAGTCTCAACACCCCTTCCATCCCTTCTCCTTTCCCTTTTAGGAGCCACCAAAGGTCCTGCCTGCCTCACTAACCTAACTCCCTACCTTTCCCCGGGGCCCAAGAGCCCAGCCCCACTCACTCAAACTTCTTTTTCTTCTCTTCTTTCTCATCCTTACTCCTCAGCTTCTTCTTCCAGGGAGAGTCTGGACGTGGGGGATCCTCAGAGTGGGGACTGCTAGCATCTGCCACATCTGCCTCTGGGAGCATAGGAGAAAGTGAAGAGGGTTGGCCAAGGCAGGGTGGGGGGCTACCAAGAAGAAACAAGTCAAAGACTTTGAGAGAGGCCCAAGGGCTGGGGTGTGGCTCAGGGGGAGAGCACCTGCCTGGCATGTTCCAGGCCCCAACACCGTAACAAACTAAGAAGAAAGGAGACTGGAACCCCGTAAGTCACCATTTTTAACTTATATTTCTAATAAAAAGAAAACAAATATTATTCTAAAATACAGAAATTTTTTCTCATTTGCTCAATGCCAATAAATTTTAACATAAAACATCAAAATAAATGCTGTTGGGCTGGGGTGTAGCTCAGCAGTAGAGTGCTTGCCTAGCGTACACAAGGCCCTGGGTTCTTTTCCCAGTACCACAAAATAAATACTGCACAAATGAAACAATAATGAACTCTAGATCAGGAGTTCTCAACAAGGGGCAATTTTGCCTCCCAGGGGACATGTGACAATGTCTGGAGAAATTCTGTCGTCACAGTGTGGACAGGAAGGGGGTTGTGATGTGGTAGTGAACAGAAGTCAGTTCCTATAGTACACTGGACAGCCTTCCTACAAAAAGAACTTTGCAGTCCAAAATATCAGTAATGCTGAGGTTGAAAAATTCTGTCCTAGCTAAACAAGGCAGCTGTCACAGGCATGAAATCTTGCATTTCTAACAAACTCCCAGGGGATACCCAACTGTTGGGCCCACATTTTGAATAGCAAGGATGGAGGTACCTTCTGATAGTACTTCTACTTTCCAGGTACTGTTCTAAACTATATACATGGCCAAGAAACAGCTCTCTATATATTCCCTTAAAATAATTCTCACTAAAATCATTTTAACATAGATCCAATATTATCCCCATTTTCCTAATGAGAAAATTAAAGCATTAAGAGGTTAAATAACTTGCCCATGGTCACACAGTTATTGAGAGTTAGGGCTGGGATTTGAAGCCAAGCCAAATCAGTATTTGGTACCCCTTCATGGTACCAAAGTCTTGGTCAAGGTCTGCATTTACAGATGGGATCACTTCCTTATTAGACTTGATTCCTATTCACTGTCCTTGGGTGGTTTGCAAAAATCACACATGACTGGGGGAGGGATAAAGGCTGTGCAACCCTGATAAGAGTCAAAGAACATCCTTCTGGCTCCAGGGTGTTCCCATGGACTTGGTGCAGTTGTAACAAGATATCACAAATTCTAAACACCGCCCCTTCCCCTGCCCCCACTAGGATCACAGAATCAGAATGTCTGGGGGTGCCACCCGAAAATCTATATTAATACACTCTTCTGTCTATTAAGAGTCAGGAAGGGGCTGGGGCTGGGGCTCAGCGGTAGAGCGCTCGCCTAGCATAAGTAAGGTCCTGGGTTCAATCCTCAGCACCACATAAAATTAAATGAACAAAATAAATATATTTTAAAAAAAGAGTCAGGAAGAGGGTGGTTGGACAGCACTTCTAAGTTGGCTCCAGTGCTTTCTAGTTAACAATCCAGCTCCTTCCAGGACTGGAGTCTTTTAATAGGTAGAATGTAGGAGTCCCCTCTCCCATGTCCTTCCCTTGAGTCTCAAAAGACAATTAGGGCTGGGAATGTGGCTCCCAGATGGAGTACAAGCACAGTCCCTAGGCTGGATTCCAAAACCACAGAAGAGAGAGATAACTGGCTGCAGGGATGTAAACCCCAGAAAGTCTCCTTGGGGAAGCCCATGATCCCTTACCTTCCTCAGCCCCTTCAGGGCAGAGTTTCAGGAGGGACACATGATCTGGGATGAGGTGGAGGCTGCTTTGCACCTGTAAAGACAAAAAGGAGAGGATCAGTCCCAAGTTCTCCACCACCCAAAAGGGAACATGAAGGATGATTCTTCTGGCACCCAATTCCTATGTCCTCCCTAAGGACGAGGATACTATGGCCCACTCTAGGCAACTTAGAGGAGTCCAGCTTCTCCAGAATCCCATTTTTCTTGTTTTCCAGTGCTGGGGTTTCAATCTAGGGCCACATGCATGCTAGGCAAGCATTCTACCATTGAGCCATATCCCCAGCTCCCCCAGGATCCAAAATTGTGATACCAAACCCCTTTCCCCAAGGCACTCTGAAGATGCAGCTATAGTTCTTTTAACCAAGTGTTTAGCTATCCCTCTATCCTAGACTTCTAGTGAACCCCAGCCCTCTCGCTCATCCTACCACCTGGGGACCCTGGCCTCCTGGAGCCCCCAGTCCTTTTGAATCCCTCCCTATGAACCCCTGCTCCCTGGCTTCCTTAGCAATGGACTCCAGTCTCAAAGTTCAACATGCCCCAAATCCCAGCTTCTCCCAGTCCCTCTGCCTCCCCATGCCCAAGAAAACAGAGCCCCATATTTGCAACATACCCAAATCCCTTCACTTCCCCAATCTGCAGGTGCCCCAGGAGCCTCGAGTCTCTCCGCTTCCGACACCCGAGCCCCGGTTTCTGTTTAGCCCGGCAAGGCCACCCCCAGCCCCCAGCCCCCGCACACCCGAAACACAGCCCTCCTGCAGCCCCCGCCCTTCAGCCCCCGGCTCTAGCCCTCCCGAGAACCTGGCTGCACCTTCCCGGAGTACACCGGAACCACCGGCGCCTCCCCCGGATCCAGCAGCAGCCGCCGCCGCCGCCGGACCAGAGTCCGCTGGGCTCCCGCAGGCCGCGCGTCGGCGCCTTCACTGTCACTGTCGCTGTCGGCCCGGGGTGCGGCCGGCACTGGGGGCTCCGGAGACGGGACCACAATCGGGGACGAGGCCTCAGCTGGCTCCGCAGCACCGCGCGCAGTCGCGACCTCCACGAAATCCTCGTCGCTGTCGCTGACCAAATCCACAAGCACTGTGTCCGGGGTGCGCCGAGCTGGAGACCGCTGGGCGCGAGGACGCCGGCCCCGACCGCCCCGGGCTCCCCGAGCCCCTCGGCCAACACCGCCGCCTCGGGGCCTTCGACCCCGTCTCCTCGCCGGTTCCGCCATGGCACACGCCCGCCTTCACTCTGGGCCCCCCCCACTCCAGCAACTTACGCCTTTTACTGGGCTAACAGCCCGCTGGCCAGCATCCCTTCCGCACGCACGCTCTGGGCTTGCCCCCTGCCGCTTCATTGGTCAACTCACCCGTCCATCACGCACCCACCACTGAAACAAAGGCGCCAAAGATTCCAATCCCCTCGGTGCAATCAGCGAAGGTTTCGATTGCGTCCAGCTCCCCCATTGGCCGGGGGCTTCTTCCCTTCAGAGGAGCCTTTCCCCGGACCCGCCACGGAAGAGACCCGTCTTCTCGGTGGCGGAGGCGCGGGGCATCCTGGGAATTGTAGTGCTCAGAGAGGCGGAAGAAGGAGCGGGAAACGCCTTACGAGCTGCCAAGTTAGGCCTGAGATTTCGCGGGTATCCGGCCACGGCCCCCCCAAGCCCACAGCCGACTGCTGCAGGCCTGAGGAATTCCACCCAGTGCCACATAGGCACACAGGTACACCGTCCCTCATGTCGGACACCTTCAAACACACCACAGCGTCGGCAGTATACACACCCAAGAGCACACACTTGGCACAACGCGGCAAAGACAGATTAAAATAAGCGGCTTAATTCTCCCTGTTGAAAACAAAGGAAAAGACTTCTCGCCCTTCTCTTTCAAAATCTGTCCTTTCAAATACAGGTGCTCCTCGATTTCCGAGGAGCATTTATGATTTACCATTGCAATTAATATGCCCAACCCACAGAAGGTCGCGGCTCTCGGCACCACAGTGCACCTTGCAGTACTTACTGGCTGTTCACCCGGGTGACGGCAGGGTTGACTGGGAGCTGCAGCCCCCTTCCCTGCCCAGCATCATGTGAGAAGATCGTGCTAGCCCGGGAACAGATCAAAATCCAACATTCAAAATGCTGCATATGCTGATCTTTATAATGCCTTTCACAACTCAGGGGTTCACAACTCAGAGCTGTGTTTTGGGGGTTTTTTTTTTTTTTTTTTGGGGGGGGGGGAGGCGGGGTTGCTGGGAACTGAATTTAGGACCTGCCAGTCAAGCACTCATCCCCAGCCCAGGGGAGATGTGTTTTCGAAATGCAAATGTTAAGGGGATTCCCGCCCCCCTCTCCCAGTTCCTAGGGGAAAATAAGCCTAACTTCTCTGGTCATCTTGCTCTAATATGTGAAACTACCAAAAAAGTTTGTTCCCTCTCCAGCAAACGTCTTAGCACAAGTTGCCTCCTTGCTTATCATGCATGATAAAGTTAAGATGAACCATGTTTGACTAAAGGCTTAATCAACTCCTTTTGAGGAGTTGTTCATCTTGAAAGCCTGATATCAGTTTTGAAATTTGACCTTAAATAGCAGGGGGGCCGGGGGTAACTCAGCGGTAGAGCAAGCTTGGCTTGCTGGAAGCCCTGGGTTCAAGGGCAAGATTTCTTTCTGCCTTTGCAATCTTCATGGATTGCTTGTGATGCCAATCACATTCTAGCTTAATGCATACTCTGTAATAAAACCTTCCTGTCCCTACTGCCTTTGTGGAGAGGGTTATTGGGTTGAGAGATTTTTGTTTTTAATTATACTCCCCCCAACACACCCACCCACACGTCATACAAATGGTATCATACACGTCCAACATCTGTATCTTCCACACAAGTCCTGAGCAACCCAACACAAACACACCCCTTCAACACTTCACACCTCCCACTTTGCCTCCAACTGAACCTCACGCCATACATCCACAGCATACTTCCAGTGACACCCACACAACAGGCACCCAACTCCACAAGACAAACACACACACACACACACACAAATGTTCATGCAAGTTGTACTGCACACATCCATCCAGAACAGCATCTCAAGTGCCACCCACATCCCATTCTGGACACCACCAGCACCATCTCAATGACATCCCCACCCCCACATTCACCCCAACACAGCACACCCTCAGATCCTCCACGCTGACTCACCCAGGTCAGGACTGAAGACTCATGCCAGCAGGTGGAGCTGTTTCTCAGTACACAAAGGCTACTGGGCTCTGACAGAGGGGACTCCAAGGACTTCCCAACCCCAGGAGACTTTTGTAGGCAGGCTGGAAGCATAGAAATTGCACCAAAGGCCCCGATGGGAGACCAAAATACACCTCCCCAAAATATACTTATTTGGCATATTACATGATGGCTATTCAGAGAAATGCTGAAGTCTGTAAAAGACACATTTATAAAGGAAATTTACATTATAAAAAGTAAGCGGTATTTGCTAGTGATGGCTTTCTCTCCAGTCCCCTCTGAGGTAGAGTAGAAGAAAATAAGAAAGAGGAAGAAAGGAGATATGAAGGAAGGGCAAGGAAATCAAAATTTAAATTCAGAAGTTTTATATACTTTTCTAGGCCTAAGACAGTCTCTCTCTCAGGCCTGTCAATCCCAAATTTCTGGAAAATAAGTAAATTTGTCTTGAGTATGATTAATTATCCCCCAATACATAGATTAAGCAAAGAGAGATATGACATTTTAAGAAATCTACTATTTAGGTGGACTTTCCAGGGCTCTCTGTTGATCAGATCACCTGAGATTGACCAGATCACTGGAAAGCATCTTGAGATCACCCGAATGACACCACTCCTACATACCTTCCTATTAACACCCCTCACAGAGTTTCCCTTAAAAGAAGAGCGGGGAAACCCCCAAATCAAGTCTCCCGCTCTTGAGATGACCCATATTGTCCCTTGAATGTGTTAATCTACTTTCCTAAATAAACTTCTGTCTGGTGTGCACTGAAATTCTTTCCATCATGTAGGCCCAAGAACCCCACTCCGGAAACTCCTTGGACCTTCTTGGGAGACAGACACCTCTTCACCTGTGATATCTTAGTTTGTCACCCCTCCTCACAAAAGACCCAGGTCCCTGTTTATTTCTGTAACTATATTATATTCGATACATACAGTTTATATATGTTATGTATACATATAATATTACACATATTATCCCCCATCACGTGTCCCTTCTGACACTCTACCCTGCAGGGCTGAGAAAAGTAGAGTTTCTATGGAGTGGCACCTGACACCAGCTTCTCTGAGACTCCCTGGCATGTACATCCCTGAAGCCAATTATTTCTCTCTTTAGGGAATAATATGTAAACTTCAACTATCTGATTTTTTTTTTTTTAGTCTCATAATTTTGTGTGATTCCCATGCATGTGGATGTACTTAAAATGATTTTTCTAGCTGGTGCGGTGGCCTGTAACCCGAGCCACTCAGGAGACTGAGGCAGGAGAAGCAGGAGTTGAAGGCCAGCCTGAGAAAATGAATGAGACCCAATCTCAAAATAAAAACTAAAAAGGGCTGGGAGTGTAGTTCTGTGGTAGAGCCCATGGGTTCAATCCCCAGACCCAAAGAAAAAATGAAAGAAAAGAAAGATTTTTTTCTCTTGTAAATTGTCTGCTATCAGGTTATTCCAGAGTCTCAAATTATCCAATCTTCCGAGGGAAAGGTTGTTTTTTGAAGATGGGCTCTTACTATGTGGTCCTGGCTGGCCTTGAATTCCTGGGCTCATGCGATCCTCCTGTCTCAGCCTCCCTGGTAGCTGGAACTGTGTACAAGTGCCACTGTACCTGGCTGACCGTCGAAAGTCTAAAACAGCCTACAGCCCTCTTCTAGCCATGGGCCCCACCTGGGAGGTGACTAGAAGCCAAGATGCTGGAAGTGACACTGAGGGCCTCAAATGTCCCTCAAGTCTCCTTCTCCCCAAGCTTCAGGAGCTAAAAGTGGCCCAGCTTGGAAGGGATAGAGGTGGGATTCAGACCCACGGGGCCTCATTCTGGAGCTCTGGGCTGAGGCGGCACCCTTCTCTTCCAACCTCAGCTTCCCCCCCCCACACTTGCCTGAGTGGCAGAGCCCACAGCTCCTCCCACCCCCCAACCCCCAATGCATGAAGCTTCCACAGCAGAACTTTCCATAATCCTACATTTGCTCCTCCTCCTTCCCATTTCCTGAGCCTGTGAAGACCACTACCATCCCCAAGCTGGGTACCCGGGGCAAGGAGACTGGGACAAGGATCTAACCTCAGGAAGGCAGGACATTTTGACCAGAAGTCACACTAGAAAGGCTTCAAGCACAGATGGGAAACTCAAGTGAACTGAGGTGAAGAAAGCAGATTTGTGTTATGCCCGTAAGACCAGCAACTTGGGAGACTGAGGCAGGAGAATCCAAAGTTCAAGGCCAACCTCAACAATTTAGTGAGGCCTGAAGCAACTTAGGGAGACCCTGTTTCAAAATTAAAAATAAAAAGGGCTGGGATGTGGCTCAGTGGTAAACTGCCTTCGGGTGCAATCTCCAAAATAAAAAAAATACAGAATCTTCTTATTTTCTTGGTGCCAGAAATAAAGAAGGAAATCAAAGTCATGATGGTTCGGGAGGAGGAATGTGAGGTCAAGCAGCCCTAGGAATGGCTTTGTGGTACTGAGGATTGAACCAGGGATGCTCTACCATGGAGCTAGGTCCCCAGCCCTTATTCCTTTTTATTTTGAGACGGGGTCTCACTAAGTTGCTCAGGCTGGCCTAGAACTTGTGATTCTCCTGCCTCAGCCTCCAGAGTTGCTGGGATTACAGGTGTGTGCCACTGCACCTGTATGTCGGATTGTCATTTTCATACTCACATGGAGACAGAGGTCAAGGTTGAGGCCTCAGGAACAGCAGCAAGCTGAAACTGCTTCCTGACCAAGGCTGGAAATTGAGGAAGGAATATCTCATCTGGGCACAGACAAAGGAGAAAAAAAACAAATCCTTCCCCAGGGTCCTGGCATGGGACCTGGATGTAAACCATTGTGGGTAATCAGGATCTCAAGGCTCGTGGAAGTCGGGTCCTGACACAGCCCAAATCTCTGGAACAAAAATCTACTTAGACAAACTCATGAATAAAATGGTCAGAAACCTGTGTGGCTGGTAAGACAGTGGCAGAAGCCAAAGTAGGCTGGCCCCAGGGACAGGCAGTGGGGCCCAGGGAACCCAAGGGACTCCCACAGGCAGGAGAAACACAAAGAAG